TGTAGTTTCTTTGTTTTTATTTTATTTTTCTATGCTTCACTGAGAAATATTTTTTTTTGTAAAATTGTACGTGTAAAATCGCAATAAAAGTAATATGTAAATCAAAGTAAATAGATAAAATACAGCTATATATATATATGTATATGAATATAAATATATAAATAGGTACAGTTAGAGGAGAAATAGGAGCATAAGAGGGAAAAATCGGTATCCAGTCATAATACTTTCGCTCTGCTGGACGCTAAAAGTCAATAATAAATAGTATTGCTGTGTTAAAAACTTACAATTAATAGTTGTTGTTGTTGATGTAGTGTTATCGCTCATCATAAACAGATCGTCGCTGTCATCGGCGTCCGCCGTTATTGTGGATGTGTTGCATGAATTWTTGTAACTAAAACTGTTGTTGTTGYTGCTATTGGGAATGGTGSCTGAGACTGTTGCGGCGGTGCTGCCAACAACAGCGTTGGAAACAACTGCCGAAGCAGCGCCGGCATTATAACTACTATTCCTATTGTTGTTGTCGCAATTTGTATAATTTGTATATTGATGCTGATTGTTGTTGGCATTTGCATTTGCAGTTGTCGATTTTGAGGTGGAAAAGGTTAGCGGCTTCTCACCACCAATCACACCACCACCGCCACTACCACCCAATACACCCGGCATACCAGCCGAAGACAAATGATGTTGCAAACGTCGACTATTGTTGTTCCTTTGGTAGATGGACGAGGCCGTGGGCAAGCCCTGCTTGAATGCCATTGCTGCGGTGTTGCTGGTGTGTCCCGGTATGGAGGTGGCACGCTGACTAAATATGCTATTTGAATTGGCAACGGCTGCGGCATTATTGTTTTTGCGAAATTTCTGTGAATGCGAAACGATGGATGAATGTGTGTGATGGAGTGTGGCGTGTGTATTGTGTATGGAGTTATGTAGTGAATGCGACATGTAATGAGTTTGTGTTTGTTGTTGTTGCTGTGGTGGCGGCGGCGGCGGTTGCGGCAACGGCAGCGACGACGGTATCGGATTCGGTGCTRTGGTGAGCGTCGGTCACGAGCAGGCCACTTCCGCGGTAGCAGCAGCAGTTGCAGCTGTTGTTGTTGTGCTGTTGCTGCTATTACTATTTGTGTTTAGATTGTTGACACTGTTGCCACCGCCATTGCCATTGCTGTTGCGTGGCGAATTCGAACCGGAGCCAGAGCCAGAACCACCGTTATTGGTGTTCTTTGCATCGGGCGTGAAATTCGGTGCACTAGTCGGCTGTGTGGTCGGCGTTAAGCCGCCGGCATCACTTGACGCATTTGAGTTCTCCTCCGTTTGCTGTAAATGAAACGAAATTGCTTATTTGTAATGAATTTACTAAAGTGAGGTTGGC